TATATAAAATGAGAGAAAGTAAAATTCCACTGTTTGTAGCATTTACTTTTAAAAAAAGTGCTCTATACAAAGTAGAGCAATATATTATTATTATTATTATAAAAGAGTATAATAAAAACATTTTGAAATCCCAACTTAACATTGCCTGAAGAGATACAAAGTATTGAAACATGAAAGCTTTTGTGTAGCAATTTCAGTATGTTTTCATTATAATCGTTTATAATAATAATTTATATATATATATATATATATATATATATATATATATATACACACACGCATACATACATACATATATACTATAGATACACAGCAATGTTACTGGATTAAAGAAGATCCTAGTGATTTGATCCATGAAATATGAATGACCATCTAAGTCAGAGAAAATGTTATGTTATAAAATCTGATTTTTCACAGCTAGATGTTTTGCTCTGAAAGAAGAGCACATACTAACATTGATACATTATTGACAATTCTGCTTGTTACTGTCTTGCATTTTTCTGACATTTTCAATATAATTTGTATGCACGCATAAGTTGTAAACGATCATAAATATTTGCCTCTATTTGTAGACTATGATGGTTGATTCAATGTACCACATTAAAAATTATTTTTCTATATGCTATATCCCTTCAGGAAGTAGACAATCATGGTCCTCCACAATTTCCTGTCGTTTGTAGCTCTTAATAAATTTTGTCATCTCTTAAACTCTGCTCTGCCATCCCTCCACTAAAGCTCATTCTTCTCTATGTCGTGTCCCTTCAGGATGTAGGCAATCATGGTCCTCCACAATTTCCTGTCTTTTGTAGCTCTTAATAAATTTTTCCTTTTTGTTATCTCTCCTAAAGCTTGTTCCACCATCCATTTACTCAAGCTCACTAGGTAGATTATGCATTGTTTTCCACTTTCCCTCTTGCTTTCAATCTATTGTGCATATCAAATTATCTAAGCCTTCTTTCCTCATTATGAACCCTAGAAATTTCAACTATCTCATGCTGCTGTTATGTATAAGTGTCCTTTTTGTTTCCATTTTCTCTAAAATGTTGACATTGCTCACATGTTCATTCCATGGTATTCTCAAGCATCCTTCTGTAGAACCACATTTCTGTTGCTTCAAGTTTCTTCTTTATCTGTGATGACATGGTCCAGCATTCACTGACATTTAGGAGCATGAATGGAAAAACTTGTCTTGTTTTTTAACTGAAAAGATGGATTTGGCAGGTATCCAGGAAATACCCCAGACCTTCATCCATTTGTCAATTTGAACCATCATGCAGGAACAGGTTGAAAATATCCTTCTAGATTTACCCAAATAACAGCATTTGTCCAAAACTGATAGTTTTTGATGAAGGTGATTGTTGGAAGATGAACAACAAAGGTTCAGAAATTTCATTTAAAATGGGGTTGGTTTTCATGAAGGGTTTTGATGCGAAAGCAATTTTAAAATAACTGATTTGGTGTTGGTTGTAAAAATGTACAATTCATTATGAGGCAGTTTTTATATAGATCTCACATTTAGCTTTATTTGCATATAAATGTTTAAACAGCCCATGGTCAAATCATTTTCTCCACATAAAAAAAAGAGATTTCTTAAAATTCTTTGAAGAAAAAAAGATTTCTCTGTTGAGAATAATAAATTGCAGAGCTGAGTTTGAATTCCAGTGGAGAGTTCATTAAATTCACTTATGTGCAAATACCCTTGAGAAAGGCATGAATCCATCTCGTCCCCTCCCAGTTATGGGTTAAATAGTAGGTCTTGTGTAAACATACACCACCCAAGCTTTACAGCAACCAGCTAATCATTACCCCACATTGCATTATGATTCTCAATCTTTTCAGTGTGCACTGAAAGCTGGGAAAGGACCTGCTGCACACTCACAAGCTAACAAGATAAAAGACAAATGCTACTCCAAAGAACAAGAAAATGAACCCTGTTTCCCATATTATAAAATAGATGTTTTTTCAGGGCTTTGCTTGTTCATCCAGGTAGGTAGGTAGGTATGTAGGTGGTCTAACAGCTCAGCTCTTTCACCTACCAACTCATCTGCCATCTACTCATCCTAACATGGCAGCTGGCAATATGAATAAAGAGCACAAGACCATCCCCTAACAAGGAAAAATCTGAACTCTTTCCTGATCCCAAGGATGATTGTTAATATAGACCAGCAGCAGGATATACCCCATTTCCAGCTTTGTTACTACTTGATCTTTGAAAACAACTCATCCAGTTCTTTACTTTTGCCTTATCCTAAAGTAGGTGCCACATAGAAGACTGAACTTTAAAAGTATTGATCTGCTGGGCTGGGCATTCAAAAAAAACAAAAAAAAAAAAACACTTGTGATTGCTGTAGAACACCTCTTCTCTTTCTACGTGGGTGTTCAGAGTATCACACATGAAAAATCATTGTTACCACCTGAAATTGTTCATGCAATATGCACTTGCAAAAAAAAAAAAAAAAGAGAAATATTGTTACATTCTAGCAAATATATTTTGGCAAATATATTTATCTACCCCACAAAGGGTAGATAAGTCATGAAAAACAAATCAATCAATCAATCAAAAGCTTTCTAATGTCAATTCTTCTTGAAAAATTCTTAAATGAATTATCAAAACTACCATACTGCAGGAGACACAGTGGAGTAATGGATAGCGGCTTGGACTGAAGAATTGGAGAGCTGAGTTCAAATTGAAGTTGAATCCATTACGTTCACTTACATGCTAATACCCTTGGGAAAGGTATGAACCCTCTTCTTCTCCCCCCAACTGGTCTGTCTTGCTATTTACTCAAATAGCAAGACAGACCAGGTTCTATAGCCTTGGATGGCAACTGGTCTATTGCAGAAAGAAATGGCAACCTACTGCGGGAAAAAATCTGCCTCATTAGGCATGTATCGAAAGATACATGATCACTTAAGTGTTTATCATGCAAGGCACATAACTGACCATTCTGTGAGAAGTCAAGGTTGAGAAAAATTCCACAGATGATCAAAACCACAAAATCAAAGAAAATAAATATGTGAAAATGCATAAAATTTCAAAATTAAACTTTGATCCATGATAACAGACAATAGAAGCTAAAACATATATATAGCACAGAATTGTCTAACACTGTCATTGGAAATTTACAAAAAAGTGAAATGCAAAGAATAAAGTTTAATTCAGACAACACTTTCACCAGAATTATCCTTTTGTAAAATATAAAAGATGCTTTCCCAATCATTAAAATCTTATCTTCAAGTCTAGATTCAACCATATTCTCATAATATGCACCTCTTACCCCTACCACCTTGTATGCTCTTATAACAACCTCATTCAGTAACCCTCTAAATTGAGTGGCTCTTGAGTCTTGTATTGAGTGAACAATAGTATTAAAAAATTTTCTCAGTGTGGCCAAATACAGAGGAAAATTTTTATTCTAAAATGGGTAATGTTTTCAAATAGTTTCAAAATCAGTCACACCTAAACACTTTGTAAATTGAATTAACACTGAGGTTACCCTGAGAGAATTAGAAGTCCTACCAGGATGCATTATTAGTAGACATAGTCTTAACAACATAAGACCTGCATATGACATAGTGTTGATAGCAGGCATAGTGTTGTAGCATACCTACTGACAATGATCGGTATGTCTCCATTCACATAAATACAGTAGTAAATATTGTATGTTGGCCTGCAGTTGGAGATTTGTCTCCAGCTGTGCTGGTCAAACTCATATGAGCAGAGAGGATCCCCAGGCGAGGCTATGTCAAAGGGCAGAGTCTTGTCTCAGGAAACAGCTACCTGACCTCATTTTGTATGGGGTCTACGGGGAATTTTTGGTTGAGCCTATGGGCTCAGATACCCCACTTTAAATTCGATCTTGGGCCACATCTGACCATGTGGGATGGTTAGTAGATATCCTACAGTTGAAGATTCATTGTGGAATTCACTTGACACACTTCTAGCACTACTTCTTCTCTGCACCGTTGGATAATCTTATATGTTTTGTTCTTGTCTTAAGTAGTATTATTGTTCATTACCAACTTTTGTTTGATTATTCTATTCAGTAACCTTTTCTAGGTTACAACACATAGAAAGAAAACTTCAGGAGCTCCTACAGAAGGCAGTAAATGAAAGCAAGAAGAAAGGACTAAGCATCAATTGCAAGAAGAGAGAATGTATAGTTGTCAGCAGTAGAAAAAGCTCAAAATGCAAATTATAAATTGGAGATGCCCCAAAAAATATAAAAATTTAAATATATAGGAAATGTTTTAACAGAGGACAGAAAATGTAGCACCAGTAATCTGAAAGCTCATTGAGATAGCGAAAGATGCCTTCCTAAGCAAAGTATTAAGAAACAGGAAAATTTCATTAGAAACAAAGAAAATATTGAAATGTTATGTAAAATTGGTTCTCCTACAGCAGTGAATGCTGGACAATCTCTTCACAGATGAAGAAGAGACTTAAGGCAACACAAATGTAGTTCTACAGAAGGATGATGAGAATACCATGGACTGAACATGTGGGCAACATCAAAGTTTTAGAAAAAATGAAAAAAAAAAGGACACTTATACATAGAATGAGAAAAAGATAGTTGAAATTTCTAGGGCACATAATGAGGAAAGAGGGCTCGGAAAATTTGACACTCTCAGGACATACTGAGAGACAGAAAAAAAACAACATATAATCTACCTAATGCGTTTGTGCAAATGAATGGCAGAACAGGGTTTAGGAGAGATGGCAAATAAACTTTACTAAGAGCTGGAAAGGAAATGAAATTGTGGAGAGCTGTGATCACCCATATCTGGAACAGACATAACACATAAAAGAAGAGAAAAAGATAAAAAGTTCAGTAAGTTTTGTATTCAATTTTTTATAAAGTTGTTTATGACAATGAATGTGAATTGCTGCAAGTTTTGTATCCTTTGCTTATTGATATCAGTTGTTAATTGCTATCTAAAAGACTCAGTCCCTGAAATGATTACAATAAACTCATATATAAGGTAGTGATGTGAAGTCATCAATACAATGGGTTTTTTTTAGAATTCTGTTCTTGGTCAGGACAAGAACTATTCAGTACCATTTCAAATATATTATTTAGGTTTGTATGAGAAAGACTCATGAGAGAATAAGAAAAAGGAGAGAGGGAAAGAGTGAGAAATAAAGAAGTATGGAAGAAGGGAAAAAGAAGGAAAAAAAAAGAAAAGAGAGAGAGATAAAGTGAAAGAAAGAAGTACAAGAAAAGTGAAAGAGAATGAGAGAACAAGAAAAAGAAGAGAGTGAAAAATGAATAAGTACAAAAAAATCTAAAAAAGAATGAGAAAAGGGCAAGAGAAGGAAAGAAGTATAGAAAATGAGAATAAGAGGGTGAGAAATGGGAGGGACTGATAAAGAAAGAAGTACAGAAAAGGAGAAAGAGGATGAGAAAAAGGAGAGAGTGAAAAAGGAAGAAGTAAAGAAGAAGGGAAAGAGAATGATAGAATGAGAAATGGGAGAGAAAAAGGGAAAGAAAGAAGTACAAAAAATGTGAAAGAGAAAAAGAGGATGAGAAAAGGGAGAGAGGGAAAGAAAAAGGCACAGAAATAGGAAAGAGAATGAATGGATAAGAAAAAGGAGAGAATGAAAATGGATGAATTATGGAAGAAATGAAAAAAGAATGAGATATGAAATGCAAGAGAGAAGGAAAGAAAGAAGTACAAAAAATGTGAAAGAGAATGAGAGGATAAGAAAAGGGGGAGAGAGAGAAAGGGAAAGAAAAACTATAGAGAAAGAGAATAAGAAAATGAGAAAAAGGAGAGAGTGAAAAAGGAAGTAGTACCAAAGAAAGGAAAAAAGAATGAGAAGATGTGAAATAGGAGAGAGAGGGGAAAGTAGTATGGAAGACACAAAAGGGAACAAAAGGATAAAAAATTGGAGAAACTTATAAAGAAATAATTACAGAAAATGGGGAAAGAAAATGAGAGGACAATAAAAAAAAAGGGTGAGAGAGAGAGAGAGAAAAAGATAGAAAGTGTGGAAGATGAGGAAATGAGAACATGAAGAGAAGAAAATGGAGAGGCTATAAAAGATCTGTTGTAAAAAGGAAAGAGAATAAAAAAGTAAAAGAAAAGAATAGAAAAAAAAGGAAGAGAGGAAAGAAGAAAAAATATTGGGAAAGAAAGAAATGAAAATGTAAATGGAATTGAAGAAGAAACAAAAAACAGCATCTTGCAATCTGTTCCATTGAATAGCTTTGATTTATATTCAGACATTTTGAGACTGACTTGATTCAATCAGAAACAAATAACAAATAAGTCCAATTTTCAACACAATTAAAAAATTGTTAAAAACTTTTCTTTGGATGGGAGAAAAAGGAAAATGTAGATAAAAAATCTCTCAACGCAATAGAGCAAGACCCCAATTCTTTGAAAGACAAAAAAAAAAAAAAAAAAAAAAGATTTTATGAAAATTTAAAAACCTTGAGTCTAAAGAAACCAAAAAAAAAAGAAAATTCTGTCACTTATTGCTGAGAGGGAATACTAGGTTCTTTGTTGAATTCTGGACAAGAAAATAGAAACAAAACTATCCAATGCTAAATTACTATGGCATTGGCAAATAACAGATTTAAGAAAAAAATCTAATGGAAGAGTAGCAAGATGGCAACTGAGAGGTGAATTTCAGAGTCAAAACTTAAAAAGAAAAAAAAAAACCCTAACTTTACTAGAACAAATTGTAGAGCTCATTTTAATAGCTGCTTGTAATGCATAAATATTATGGTGATTTTCTAAGTGTAGTTTAGATGTGGCACAAGGTTGGAAATATACAGCATCAAATGAGGATCAGATTCACTATTCCGTCACAAGTGATCCTGTAAGACAAGCTTGTTAACCATTACACCATGTTGGTGTAATATCATGAAGTGTATGTAAATATTCTAAAGAAATATTCCTGTTCCAACAGAAGAAATCTTCGAAAGAAATCAATGAATGCTCCATACAAAAACTGGGCAACAAGAATTTGCCATCTTCATCCCTGAGTGTACCAATTTCCAGCATTGAAGTTTTGAGTTCCAAGATGCAGCATAGTGTAGGAAGGCTTAAATGGTGTCAACTCCTTAAATTGTTAATCAGGTTTCATTACCTAGTTTTGGCAAATTGATTTTTTTTTTGTAGGTTATTATCTTTTAGTCATTTAAACCCAAGCAAGACTATAAAGCCACTAAGACACAAGTGGTTAATGAGTGTTAGTGAATATGAGAAGAAAAAAAAAAACACTATTAAGGAGAAGAACAAGAATTAAGAATACAAAAGATTACAATTGACATTGCATTTATATTTTTGAAGATAAAAGTTGACTGAGAAGCAAAAAGCTGGAAGAAAATTTCACAAAAGAGAAATGTGAGAGAAGAAGCTATTATTACACTATTTATATTCAAACTATTGTCCTCGTCATTTTTGTTATCATAACATTTTGGCTGTTGTGGCCTTTAACTTTCCTCAGGTGTATATCAATCTGGGTAACCAACAGGGAATTCTGAACTGAACCCTTTATTTAATCTACTGGGATAGACTGTTCTCGTTCCACAGCCAATGTCTATGGTTATCTTGTCTAGTTCTATTTTTTTAGTATGACACAGTTATTGCTCAACAATTTTAAACAAGTCCAAGTACACAATGCCTCATCAAAGGATTGAACTCACAATTACTATGTCACCAAATAATGTAAATAATAACTCCTTGTCCCAGGAATTCAGATGGAAATTTTCTTTCTGCAAAAAATTCTAAATATTATTGCTCCTTATTTATACTATTTACATTTGGACTATTGTTCTCATTTTTGTTTCAGACGTTGTGCTCTCCAGCTTCCTCGGGTGTATATTAATCTGGATAACCTACAGGGAATTCCAAACTAAACCCTTTATTTAATCTACAGGGATAGACTGTTCTTGTTCATAGACACTTGAAACGACTTTTGCTATTTCTGCCATGACACACTAACAGATCAGCTTTTCCACTCAACTAGCAGGCTTAGCCATATCACATTGAAACACCAGTTCTTATACTGTCACCAAAGTTAAGCAATGCTGAACCTGATTAATATCTAGATAGGTGACCACTTGGAAATACTAAGTGTTGTAAGCTTGGATGTGCAGGCGATGTAATGGATAATGAATTAAAATTAGAAATCATTCCAATCAGGTTTGTTATATCCACTTATGTGCAAATAACCTTGGGAAAGGTATGACTCCACATCTTCTCCCCCAGCTATAGGTTAATTAGTAAGACTTTTGTATCACTAAACCGTTATTATCTCAAAATAAAAAATAAAAGTATTTTTACAATCTAAAAAATATTTTCTAGCTTTCAATAACTTGAAAAGGGTTGATAAGCCACGGAAAACGAATCAACCAATTAATGCTTTTGAGCCACCTGGCTTTTTTTGTTCAGTTAAGTTGGTTTAGGAATATAAGAGCCCCTGTCCTCGAACCTTCTACCCCCAGCTAAGTGTTAACTAGTAGAACTAAATCATTATGAACTCCAAAAAATTCTTAGAATTTAAAAATCTTTTCTGGCTTTAAAAGCAGACCTGCAGAGGGTCAATAAGCCATAAAAAAAACAATCAAACCCTTCAACCAGCAAGAATTCTGACTCTCACCTACTACCATTTTGTTCATTTCTATATCGTGATGCATGGAATTGGAACTTTCTCTTGATGGACAATATGTACTCACCAACAGACAAAATGACCAACCTGATCTCGTTTATACGAGTTATATGGGCATTTTTTGGCTGAGCCTATGGGCTCGGGAAACCCTCAATAAACTCGGCCTTGTACCACATGCAACCCTCGTGGGGGGGTTGCTAGATACCAACAGACAGTCTGTAATTGTTTATATAAGCATATGAATGGAAATTTGTAATTTCCAACCAAGTGGCACTTGCCCCCGAGAGTTTCCATTTTTTTTTTTTTTTTATTATTTTCTTCCTTTTTGGTCAGTGGCTGGCCACTTAGAAGACTTGACTTTGCAGATTTTACTGCTGGTCATACAAACACTAGACACTTCAGATGCAGATAAAATCATTTAGGTCCCATTTGACTTTGTGTATTTTCTAAGCCGAGTTCTGTTTTGACACATTTTGACCACCCACCCTACTCACCAGATTTTCCATTTGACTATTTCCTGCTTCCAAAGGAGTTTGACAGGAGGAAATTATTAAACAATTTGGAGATTGCAGCAGCCGCAGAAATGTATTGCAATGACAAAACATCAGAATTTGTTTAACTCTTTAGTATTCAACACTTTAAAATCTGCCCTGTAAATATCTGTGGTCAAAGTCTAACACTTTGTGTGAATTCCTGTGTTATTTGCAATGATACCATATATTATAGCTGAGTATACATTAGGTGGACGATGGAAGGTTGAACATTGAGCAACAATATTTATGAGGCAGATTTATGAGTTGAATGCTAAAGGATTAAAATAAACTTGAAAAAGTATGAGTTGATTTGTCATTTTACAGATTATCAACCCTTTGTGGGTCATGAAAAATATTTTGGAATCCTTCTATATTTCTAAGATGAGGTATTATGTACACTATTTACATTATTCAGACTATTGTCCTCATCTTTGTTCCCATATTTATTACTATGTTTCAGCTGTTGTATGTTCTGGTCTTCTTCAGGTGGTTGGAATGTCGAACTGAACCCTTCATTTCACTCCCAGAGATAGACCGTTCTCGTTCCACATGCCATGTTTAATGGATGTCAGTTGTCAGTTATCTCCTGTTAATTCCTTGCTCCAAGTTCTCCACTGCCTTAACCTGGTATTGAACTCACATTCTTTGGGTCCTGTCACTGGATCTAACCAACACCTTTATCCACTGTGCCATGTGTTCTTTAGGCATTGGTTCGATCCAGTGACAGGACCCAAAGAGTTGTAAGTTCAATACCTGGTTAAGGAAGTGGAGAACTTAGAGAGGTGAATTAACAGGAGATAACTGATAACTGACATCCATGAGACATGGCATGTAGAACTAGAACAGTCTACCCCAGCTTGTGAAATAACAGGTTCAATTCGACATTCTAACCACCTGAAGAAGGCTGAAGCATATAACAGCTGAAATGTTGTGATAAATATGGCAACAAAGATGAGGACAATAGTCCAAATAATATAAATAGTGTAAATATTTTGGATTTTAAGAATAATTCTTTTTTGTGAGTGAATATTGAATTAAAAATTTTTGAGAATACTAAAATTTTTTTCCAAATATGAGTCCTACTATTAAATTCATAGCAGAGATATTTGCACGTAAGTCAATGTAACAAGTGTGACTGAAATTTGAACTTGCCTCTTCAATTTCTCATTCTATGTCACTATCCATTGCACATCCAAAGTATAAAGTGTGTTAAATCGCAAGTTGACTATATATCGTGTATGTCTCATAGAACTTGATAATTTTCTTTTTGGTTGGATGAAGTACATATCAACATCTAAGTCATAAGCTTATTTCATAATTTACCTTGGAAGTCTAATCAAATGCCTTGGTATTTTAAAGAATGTCTAATATTTTTTGACAGAAAAAGACAGCAGTAGGAACACTTTATTAATGAAATGAAACCTGTGAAATTTGAACAAATTAAAACTATATAGAAAACAGAGATAATCAATTTTTATTAACTAATTGGTGGCAGATATCATCTTAACAATAGCAGATACATAGATAAGACTGTGTTGATTGTAGACTCAAAGAGAAAACTAAAAGAACTCTTACACAAAGTAATAAGAGGAAGCATGAAAAAAAGAGCTAACCATTAATTGTAAGATAACTGAATGCATAGCTGTCAACCGAATCAGTAGGATTTATATGAAAGATGCTGAGGATACCATAGATCGAACATGTGAATAACAACAAAGTTTTGGAGAGAATGGAAAAAGAAAGGAAACTAATACTAAAAATCAGGAAGAGACAGTTGAGGTTTCTGCAGCATATAATCAAGAAGGAGGGCTTGGAAAATCTGATACTCACAGGACAGATAGAGGGCAAGAGGTATAGAGAAAGACAATGTATAATATTCTTAGTGAGCTTGAGTAAATGGATGGCAAAACAGGGCTTAAGAGAAATATCATTCATAGCTACAAGGAACAGGGAAGCTGAGAGCCATAATCGCCTACAACCTGAGGGGGACACAGCACATAAAGAAAATCGAGGAAGTCAAAATCAAATAG